GCAGCTAACAATATGTGATTCTTGTACTATTGCTGTATGATAGTCTCTTTCCCTCTAAAATTGACTGTAACTTGTGTCTTTTCTTTATTTCTTCCTTAAAGCCTTCAGTTTCGTCAGAGGAGGCCGTGGACATCGACAAGCAGTTTTGGAAAACATTTCAGAAATTTTCAGGAGAGGTTGGTGAAAGCTTTGGTCTTTCTTTCCAGAGATAGCAGAAAATAGCCTAAAACATTTTATTGGGAAATATGGCGTTATGAAGCGGATGATGCCTAGCCCTTTTGCCGTCCAACTTAAGGTGGCTCAAAACAGTTTCCAGCACTTTCCAAGACTAAGATTTTGATAACTAATTATTACACGTTGTTATCATTTTCGTGACATAATAGGTTGCCATAGCAACAACATGACCTGCGAAAAAACCCTTAATTATTGCTTTAAGGACCTACAATTTAAAAACGCCGCGGTGAAATTTTTTATATTATCAAATTTTGATAAGCAGGAAAAGACGCAACTTTTGGCAAAGTTTAAAAAAATTGTGTACATAGAGTTCAGAGTCACCGTGCCGCTTTTAACTTGTAGTTAATAGGTCCTTTAAGCTATAATTAAGGGTGGTTATTTTTGCAGGTCATACTGTTGCTATGGTAACCTATTGTGTCACGAAAATGATAACAACGTATTCGCTAATGATTGGGCAGTTTTCTGATACCATGATTGTAGCATCAAGTGATAAAGAGTGGTTATAATTACCCATCAAAATCTAAGTCTCGGAAAATGCTGGAAACTGTTTTGAGCCACCTATTTTGGAGCCACCTTAACGCTTTTGACTTAGGTTTCTACATGCAGTTACTTCCGGCAATAACCCCCGCTCTGGTTTTCTTTCATGTAGCAGGTACATTTTCGATGCTAAATAACGATGCTTCCCGAGCACGGTACATTTCTGGCGCTCGGCCAAAACATGCAAAATAAACCTAATGGTTCATTATGTGCTCTGTCTGTTGGGGTAGTTAAGCTGAAATCTTTAGTAGCCTTCACATAATTTTCCACTGGACAATAAAACGCCTCTTGGCTTTTTCCAACTGGCAAATGACTGGTCACTTCAATTTACAGGATGGAGAAATTGATCAATATGAACTACAGGAAATATTGACCCTGGCGTTTGCAAATTGTAAGTACAGAAGCTATTCAAACGTTCCTTGTTTATATATTAAAACTATAAAATATGCTGTTGTTGTTGTTGTTGCTGCTGCTGCTGTTATTGTTGAATGTTTATGGTAGTCAGTGTACTTTTTGCTTAACTAGAAGTGGCTAGTTCTCAGGCATTTCACCTATAAAATTAAAGAAGCAGATATTTCCAAATAATCACAAAAGCTAAACTATGCTAAAAACCGATCATGGAAACCGGGCTACCGTTTTTTTCTACATATATATTTTTAATTTTTATGTGATTATTTTTCATACTCATCTCTTGTTGTTTCATTTTGAATTTCAGTGGTAAATTCTAACTCGTTTAGTCTGGAAGCTTGCAGGTACATTTCCACTGTAATTCTGAAGATAGGCGAGAATACATACTGGCCAGTACTGGGCAAATCATTTCATCATCATCATAATTATTGCCCTTTTACACGCGTTTTCCTTTCCGTAAATAGGAAAACGACAAGGACAACAATTTGTAAATGCCTTTTCGGGTAAATCTACAGTTGCCAAACCGGTCCAATCTTTTATTACTACGGTTCAGGCATTAGAAAAGACCACGAACCGTACCTATTGTAACTAGAATCATGGACACAAGTCTTAAGATAAATTTGCACTTTTGGCGCCTTTGCGCACACGCCAGACGTGAATACAACTTCACCTGACTAACCTCGCCCCCCACCCCCCATACAATGCTGAAAACTACTACCTGCAATTTCTTCTGATTTTCAACATTGCATTGAGTGGGGGAGGGGGGACAGGTACACGTTTTTAAGAGGAAAGCAGCACTTTTTTCAAACTTGAGCAGTAAAACACAGATAATTCGTTAAACTACATAAGTGTCCCAAGGAATTTTGTCCACGATTGCAGCTTGACGTTTTCTTTTGTTTTCCTTTCAATAGGAGCATGATTGCTATGTTTGATGTATCCTTTTATCAAAGATGTTATTTAATATAAAATGTAATAAACGTTTAAATATAAAGACGAAAAGTAAAATAAATACAAAATGGTGAAATGACACAGACATAGTTAGCCCATAGGCTTGTAGGCTGAGGCCTATAAGTTTTGAAAAGCGCTTTCAAGTTCACTCATGAAATAGACCGCAATTGCAATGTAGTTTAGCATTACAGGATCCGTAGATACGCTGTCGCGATAATATCAAAGCTAATCAAGCTATTGAAAAATTGGGAGTCTTCGAAGTCATCCAGATGACCGACAAACACGCAAATATCATGCACCAAGTTTGTACATTGGTCCATTCTGTGCTAGTCACATTTTGGGTGTTTTCCAAATACTCGTAAAATCCCCAGAAAACAAAGGAGAAAGAATTTTCAAGGGGAACATATACCCTTGCCCGGACCACCCTGAATGAATGAACCAACAAACACAGACACGCAAACCTGTCATGAAGAATTTTCAGAAGGTTCCGCGTGTTATTTGGCGTGAATCTACCATGGTGCGCACATCGTCGTGCTTTGGCTTAAAAAAAAAAAACGCTTAGAATTTCAAGGGATTTCTTGAGGTTAATTGTGTAAATCAATGTTACAGTCTGTTCCTGTGCTGAAGTAAATCAGTTTCATTGGTAGCTTGCCACACGTAACTTATTTCAATGCCAACAAAAACGAAAAAGGTCTAGTGAAGATAACAATGAAGATCAATGACAACAAGAATTAACAACCTTAATGATTGTTTAAAGATAGACAAAACTGGAGCACTGGGATACAAAGAGTTCAGGGCGCTGTGGATGATACTACGCCAATGGAAGGTCAGTCAATAAGGCGTTCTTATTCAGTTGAAAAGCAGCTCTTCTTGGCTTCGACAGCTAGCAGATGTAAACACGACGTAAGGTGACTTACTGGCTGACTGACTGATTGGTCGTCCTACTGACCGATCGATTGATCGACCAATTGACTGACCGACTGACTGGTATATTTACTGAGCGCTCGATAAATGACTGACTGACTGACTGACTTACTGACTGAATAAATGACCTACAGACCGACGTAATGACTGACTGGCAAACTGACGGGCTATGTATAATTGCCTGTCTGTTTGTCTGTCTGTCTGTCTGTCTGAATGTGTGTATGTCCACCTATCCATCTATTTTCCTCTCTATTTTTCATATCAGGAAGTCTTCCACCGTTTTGACAAAGATCAAAGTGGAGATATGAACCTGTTTGAGCTTCGCGATGCTCTCAGTGCGTTAGGTAAAACCGTTACTATTCCATTTTAGTTTAAATGTTTATTGATTTCTCTTTTTTTTTATCCTTTGTTTTTCACGTGCGTTTCTTTGCAAATGTTACTTCTTGTGTAGGTTATCGACTCAGCAACACAGCTCTTAGCTCCATTCATCTACGGTATCACAACAAGAAAGGCACCATCGCATTCGACATATTTATACAGATTTTAGTGCGGGTCATAGTCATGTTCGGTAAGCTAAACTGAACAAGTTAACATTGAATTGAATTATTGAATTATTTTATCTGCTTCGCAGGCGATGAAGTCTCTTGAAACTGATTGGTCAGTTTCGCAGTGATGTTATTGGCCGTTTCGACTTTGTGTTTTAGGATTGGTCAGTTTAAATATACTGTTAGTCAGTTGCGTCGGTTTTATATAGTAGTCGAAATTTGAATGTCGGTTTTGTTAAAATGAAAAAGTCAACCTTGAATTTGAACTTTTCCTGAACGGTTATAGTCAATAAAATTGCACCAAATCTAACGAAACAGTTTTTTTTAAAAAAACTGTTCAAAGTTTGTCCCAACTGGCGTGAGGTAGAGACCAGTTGGTTACATACAAGCATGACCGAGGAATTGAACTAGGGTCTACCTAGAAACAACTCCAGCTTAGTGGTCAGAGCGGGACTTGAACCTGCGATCTCCGGATTTCAAGTCCAGCGCTCTAACCACTCAGCCACTCTGCCTCATCCTCAAGAACTTAATTAATTAACACCGCCAAAAACGTTTGGCCAATTTATCGCTTGGCTCTGCATAACAACTTCCCGACGTTCAGATTCTTGAAACGTTAATTACGAAGGACAGTTCTTTCCAGGACTACATACCCTCCGACAAACGGCTTTCTTGACGAACTTCATTTACTCTTGGGACTAACTTAGAAACTATTTTCCTTTAAATGAACATTTTGATATTCTTAATTGCAGATGCTTTCAGGAATCACGTAACGAAACGCGGCCCACGAGCAAACAAGGCAGTATTCACAATTGATGATGTAAGTTTATCACACTTCAACAATTTACGAAGGACTATATACTTTGCCAATCTGATTCCCAGGCTCCCCAACACGCTCTATAAGACGTAAGCTTTCTCGAGAATAGCCCTGGGCTTGAAACTTAAGACTGGTTTATATATTGTCGCTACGATCGCAAAAAGTTGGGCGATCGAGTTTCCGGTTTCTAGTTTCCGGTTTCCGGTTTCTGGATTCCGGTTTCCGGTTATAGCTAGGAACGCTAAGATCGTTGAGATAGAGCTGAAGTATCACTCAGCGATCGTTAACCTTGTAGCAAAGATTTCTATATGATCACAACAACTGCTGAATTATTCTTGCAGCGATCCTTTGAAAGCATAAACACGGCAGAGGCCGAGTCCATCGTGGTTGCCTAAATTTCTTAATCTCAAAATTCTAGAATTGGATACACATACAGAGTTTGAGGGACTGTGATGTTATACATGTAGTTGACGTAGAGCCATGCATTAGGAAAATGTCTTTGACTACCCATATTAGAGTAAATTCTAGCATTCTGTAGTTACGGGAAATTTACCTCGAATTATCACAAGAGCTACAATCTCTCATCGAGCTATAAAAACATCAACTGTGAGTATTGAAACGGTATGGAAACGACTAACTGTCCCAGGAAATTTGAGTCCACAGAATGTCAGGACCATAGTCAGTTCGAGGAAAACCGAGGCACTTGCCTCGGTCATTTCTTTCTTTCTTTCTTTCTTTTTTTTTCTTTTCTGTTGTTTCTTTTTTGAAAGGGGAAAGTGAAACACTGCTAAATACCTAGGAAGAGAATTTAATTATGGACATTGCCCCAGTCGCAATGGTTTACTGGCTACAGCCCTGAATGTTGTGCTTATTAGCGCTTTTGTTACCCAGAAATGTTGTAAGTTTTGAAAGCCAGAATCTCCAGTATATTTCACTGAAGACCATAGGGCTATGAATTTGACCTACCGTATTACCAAATTTCACAAGCTCTTTCAACGTTTGGAGTCAATGTGTATCGGGCATGATGCCCTCTCGGCCAAAATGGCAAACAACGAACAGAGATGTCAGCAGAGATTCCTCTTTACTGCTCCCTTCAATAACATGCGGACTCTAAAATTCAAAGCTCAACCGACAAATGCGTTTTTTACTACCGTCAATCAAGTGTTAGGCGGCTCCTCCCACCTTCCGACTACTACCGAGCGCGCGGTAATCAACTCGGCGTTGAGCAAAGTTCAGACAACGAAACAGTACTCGGTAGTAGTCGGAAGCTGGAAGGAGCCGCCGAACATTTGATTGACGGTAGCAAAAAAACGCATTTGTCGGTTGAGCTTTGAATTTTAGAGTCCGCATGTTATTGAAAGGCGCAGTAACATTTGATTAGCTTTGTGTGAATATAATGCTTTGGTTTTGAAATGATTTCTTTGCAGTTCATCGAGTCTGCTTTGACGGTATGACGACAAGAGTAAAGTGACAGCAACACAATGAAATAGTTTATAAAAGAAACAGTACGTAACTGAATGCAACGGAAGGAGAATAGTGCGAGTCTGCATGAGCAGATGCAACTGAGAAAATCGGAAACTCGCGTGCGGTGGATTAAAAAAGAAAACCGCCAAAAGTGTTAACTAGGAAAATGTCTATATATTTTTTGTTGCTCTCGTGAAAAACTAGCAACAGACACATTTCGAATAACTTGCAAGAGCTTTTAAACTTCTGTATTTAAAAATACGAAATATCACTTAGTTTTCTAGCTTGGCTCATGTGCTTTGTGTGGAAAAGTGTTTAAGTCATTTTGGAGTTAACCAGTTCTATTTTAAGAAAGAATGGTGTAAAAAATTAATATCGACAATAATTTGAGATATTCCTTGTCATTCATTTTAGAATGTATGTAAACTTATCTTGTTGATTACGCTAACTTGGTTCGTTATGCAGTCTACCTCTCAGAGCCTCTCGTCTCGGAAGGGGAAGGGAGAAGTGGGGGGGGGGGNGGGGGGGTGGTATTCCTTTATATGAGCTATATAGGTATATGCGGCCCCAAAGGGGTATGGTTTATTAGCCGTTTCGGTCATAAATAGGGTATCGGTTTTGGCCATTTTGGTCTTAAATAGCGTATGGTTCTTGCACTACAGTCAAGAATTGGTTAAGGGTTAGGTCTTAAACAGGGTAGCAAATGTTTCTGAGTATCCCCGGGGGGTTGTCATATTCTCTCTGGGTAATGAGAATTTGAAACGTTGTGTCCACCCTCCAAACGACAACCTCTCATTAAGCCCACCGCTTTTGAAAATGTTTGACCTCACACTTCTGTAGTCGTGTTCTTAAAGGTCTCTCTATTTAACATCATGTTTATTCTTCCGACGCGCCAAAGAAACTTGAAAGACTTCAAGTTTGGTGTCTTATAAAATCAAGACGTCTAACTGTCTACTTTCGAGCCAGCCACGACGAATCGCTGAAATTAAAAGAGAAAAAATACAACTGTACAGTTAATATTTCGGTCTGAAGTGAAATAATCACCATACCAAATATTCAATCAGAAATTGAAACAATTGGTTTTTGTGAACATTTTGCTCCACAGATAACAGTCTTGGTTGGGTTGAAACTGACTTTTCTTAGCACAAGCCCAACAAGGAGAGCAATATTGCCGCGGTTCTGGCCCTCTCTCTGTCACGCAACGCCGAGAGTTGCGTTGCGTGACATAGCTGGAACGGGACAAAAAAAGACTCTCTGATATGAGACAATAAGACGATTAGTGAACGTGAACAACAATAACAATTATTGACTTTCAATTTTATACATTTACCTAAACACAAGATCGACAAAATTACATTGCATACCTACACTTTTAAGTCCAATTTAATTTGAATGTGAGGCACTGTCAGCTCGAAATTCGAAATTAATTAATATACCATATGATTTGTATTACAGACAAAAACAAAAATAACAAATAGTATATAACTACAACTCAAAGTGGAGGGAGAATTGTCTCCCCTTGTCTGTCCTACTAAGGTGACAATCTCGTGCCCAGCTCTAACTCTGGCGCGTTTGGTCACTGCTGACCAAAAACGCGCAGGCTCTGCAAACGAGATTTTCTGAAGTGAGTAAAGTTAATCCATGATAGTGCTTTTCAGTTGCCTTGAAAGGATCAATTTTTAAATCTAGATTTTCCCCTTTCACTGTCATGATCTGCATAATAGAAAAAGTGTTCAACGCTGCTGGTGTGAATCTTGTGAATCTGTAAACTATGCAATATGTTTACAGAACTTCAACCTTAATTATTTGATTGCTGTGGACCTTGAAGGAAAAGACTGCGAATTAAGGAGAACCTTTCACAGACTCCATTAAATATAACAAAAAACAATACTTCATCAATCAAGATATGACATTTCCAAATACTGGCATATGAGCATGCTCTGCCTTGCTTTCTTAATGACAATAAAAAAATCCTAGTGAATAGTAAATTATATACTTCATCAATGAAAGCAGCCAGTCTTTTGTTAATCAGCATCATAAAGATTTGCAACGCCAATACTTTTCTTCTTACTGCTATTTACAGTGTAAAGCGACGCACAACTTCATCTAATCGCTTTTCCCTACTCTTTGAACTCTTTACTGAGCTGACTATGAATTTACATATATAATTAAGAGCAAAATGAAATTACAACAGTTTACAAAAGCCTGGGTGCTTTCAAGGAAACATCTGGGCAGTTCATTTCTTTATGGGATTTTAAAGGGGCTATGTCATAGATGGCATATGCCAATCACTTAACCTCCAATCAGTCATCTTCGTTCATAACCATCCCTGTTTCATCTCAGTTTATCAATAGCATGGTGTTTCTCTACCTTTGTAAGCTAATATTCTCAGGTTTCTTTTGATTTGAAGACAGCTGTACACATTGCAAAAAAATTACGTAACTAATAGTTGCATAGCCCCTTTAATGCTAACATACCAGCAAAATATAATTACCGGCAACTAAAACGCTTTTTGAACACTTGTAGTTTCAACATGCAGACTCTCCCTACTGGTAACGAAATAGTTTAAATAATTTTAAAAAAAATTATGTAAGTTGCTTCCTAGACTCCCATCTACACACCTGTTTGGCTTGTCACGCAATCTTCCTCCTTAGGGAAGACTGCGTGACAAGAAATATGAAGGCTAGTTGCTTTCATGAACTAAATTCTCATGACAACCATGTCTGGCTTTGTTTGTGACCAAGTGAGGAGAAATTGCNGGGGGGCAAAAGACATTTACCGGGGGGATTAAGATAGCAGAAAGTATAATGAGGTGGGAAGGGGAGACAGAAATTGTTTTTCCCAAGATGAAACCCACCAGAATAAAATAAGAAAAAAATCCATAATACAATGAAGTTTGCACTTGAAGAAGTGCAGAGGCACGAATCAGCTAAGTGAGAGGAAGCCCCACGTAATAGCTCAAAGTATGTGAAGCAGGGCGTCCTGCCCTAGGGTGTGGGCTGCAAAACAAAACTTGTGCTAACAGAAAGAACAAAGTATTAAAGTCAATATTTTCCCATTAAAACAATGATGTTGTACGACTAGAAGGGTTAAAAAAATGCATGGATGAGTCAAGTAACTATGTGTAAATAGTCATGAAGCCTTCTTCACAGCAATTATTTGAGAAGTCAATTGACACAATTTTTTTATATAATTATGCTGCTACAAATAACAGCTCTGAAGAAGACTACTCAAGAGGGGAAAATGCTAAGTTTAGACAGCTGAATGCTCCATCTGACACTGCAAACCACTTGTTCTCAGTCACTTTGTCTCTTAATTTTATGAACTAGATTAAGTTTTCTAAGCAAGAAAGAGTAAAATATTGATATATTGTTTAAAAATTAATAACGTTATGCAGGGATTTAAAAGCAGAGTTATTTTCAAATAGTTCTCTAGCAACACATGCTGTTTGAGAGAGCAAAACAAAAACACAGTTTGTAAAAAGTAACCAGGCCTTCAGAGATGCATACAAATTATGGGATGGCCCACTTTACTCTTTTTTCAACTTGACATGCCACTCACAATAAAAACGACACCCATGCTTATTCCATTTTCTCACTAAAACCCTGGTTTCTTTTCACAAACATGCTGTTGAAGTGACTTATCATTTCCTTTAAATGTAGCTGTTGCTTTTTGTTTCTTTTCTTGGCTTGCGCTGCTTGTAGCCTGCTCAGGAGATGTAGGTCATTTCATCTTCCTTCTTCTCACTTTAACAAGCGAATCAGCAGCTTCAATTCTTTCTTCGCAGCAGCAGTGACAGTGGCAACAGAGTTTTAGGTCGAGAATATTGCTCGTTTGTTTTCTTTTTTTACAAAATGTCTTGCCTTGGAAATAAGAATAATAAATAGTTCACAGGCTTTGGTTATTAAGGTCTTGTTAGACATCCACTACCATCTTCTTGTGAACATCCATATTACCAACAACCTGCCAACAGAAAATGACAAAGAAGTAAATAACTTAAACCCAAGGGTATCTCTTTGTGTTTTCTCTGAAAACTGGTGTTTCTACAACCATAGCAACAGTCATCTTCTTCAAACAGTAGATGCTGAAGATGACTGCCACTTAGGTTGTTGAAACAACAGTCCTTTTCAGGACAAAGCTTCGCCCAGACTATAACACTGTACGACACAGTAAGAAGATGTTTGATAACTGACATAACTTTACAACTTCACAGACAAGCCTTATTCATTTCAAACTTACTGCAAAGTTGCTGTAGATGGGAAACCTAGGCACCAAATCTTAACCCTTTCTGAAGGGTGTTCATGAATAAAGACAGATATCAAATATAATTTTGGCACAAAACTGAAAAGCAAACAATCTTCAGAGGTTTATCCAGAGCTGAAAGCTACAGCCACCTTACACAGCTCAGTAAACAGTGCAACATGGGAGTGCAGCTCATTTGAATGGTCACACTCGCCACCTAGGGTTCATCCACAGGCTAGGAATTGAAGTTTGAATCACATTTACATCTTAGAAGAACTAATTTAGAAGTTTGATTCTGGCAGTGAATAAGGTGCTATTCAAACAACAATTCAATCAGTTTACAAGACTTACAGCGCAAAATTCACTAAAAGAGATTTTTCCATCGCCATCCTTGTCAGCATTTATTACTGTCTTATCCACAATTTGTTGAAGCTGAGTTTCTTTGAGGTTGTTTCCTACCATCATCTTTAGAACTTGGAAGAGTTCTCCATTTGAGATGAAACCATCATTATCCATATCGTATATCCTAAAGGCAACTACATAAAAAAAAAAGACCAAAAATAAGTACATTGATTTTGGTGCTGAGCATAATAGCCTTTATTTCGTGCATAAGTAGAGGACCAAAATTTAAAAGAATTCATTTTAACAACTGCAATAACCTTGAGTGCCATTTAGTGTCTCTAATTTTACAGCTTTGCTCTGAGTCCCTAAAAATCCCAACTTAATGCTGCAAAAAGAGAGTGGTAGAACATGGCATTTTTTTTCGTTATGCATAACAAGTCATTGTTAACAAAAATCTATTGCCTCAGTCTGGTAGTGCTGACAAATTCAAAAGTTCAGTTTCTGTTTCAAAAGAAAACAAGTATGTATACAATAATATATCTAGGGTAACTCACATTTCTGAAATTTGAACTCTTTAAAATTTAGTGACAATGAGTCACATAATTATGTGACAATTTTTTTTTTTAAATNTATTAGATTCATATATTAGATTTATGTTTCTGTCAAAAATTTATGACCGGAAATTTAACAAAACAATCAATAAATTAATTTAACATACATGACATTCGACAGCAGGAATTCTTCCTAAGAATAATTTATTTGTTTACATTGTACCTCATAAAAGACCAGTTTAGCCAAGTATGTGTATGTGACTATGTACTTTACTTGAAACTTAAGCTTGGCAACATGTCCTGTATGACTTTATCTTAGTTCATTCTTATTATAAAATTTTACGTATTTTTAATTAACACATCCGCAATTTACATTTCAGATAAAGATGTGTATACAGAAACCAATTAAAGGTTTTACAGACATACATGTGTACGTTCATGTAATACATGTTTCATTTTTACAATCAAACTTCCTTGTTTTCAATTAAATGTTGCAAAATTTTTAGTGAAATACACAATGTAAACTTGTGCTGTAAACCAGCAACATAATTGTACTAGACAACAGTTTAAACAGCGGCAGCAAGTGATAAACAACATTTGGTCAGAGTCGATGACTGCTGACTAAAACTGGCCCACATCTGATAAAATCCTAATTGTGGTTGGTTTAAATAATTTACAACCATGTAGCTGCATGGACAAGTGCTTCTTTTTCCCACTGAGCAAATTGCCATGTTGAGAGGATAATTTTGCTTGCCTGGTTTGACAATCTAGGGAACGTTTTTCTTATAAAGAAGTTCAGTTCAAATAGTTTTGCCCACCTGACTAAACCAGTTGCCTCCTGCTGAAAACCTTAATAAAACCATTGTACATGTAAGAATTAAACATTCTGATTGGTAAAAAGCTCAGATTATGACGCTATATTCAGTGTGCTACATGTACATGTACAGCTGTAGGAGGTGAATGTAACATATTAATTTAAAGCTTGGTTACTTAGCTATACCACCTTTGCCATGTACCCAGGTAAACATGGCAGATAGCGAAAGTGACCAGAATATCCATTTATAAATTTGAAAAACAAGTCCACTTTATTGACTACATGTATGGAGAATTTTAAAATTGTTAACTTTGGCTTTACACCAACAATGTTTTCAAGACCTAGTATTCAAAGCATAAAAATGGTAGTTAAAATTGTACATTGCCAGTCATGACAAATTGTGTCAGACTGAGTGACTAAACTTTTTTGATGTTCTAGATGATCAGTAAAACTATGCACAAAGTCAGCAATATTGAAACAAAAGTGCCTGAAGAATGTTCCTTTTTTTTGTGGTGTTTATTTGCTTATTTTACAATAAAGTCATGTTTACATTGATCAGTGCAACCAATTTATGAATTTAAACTACAACAACAATGACATATTTGTATGCACAAAGGAACATTTGCATCTGCGCTTTCATGAATTAGTCTAATATTTTGTAGTCCTAGACATTCACCTCTACAAAATAATTATACTTATTATAAACAATTATTTGCCTCAGGTTCAGTGAACATTCATTTAGTGAATATTTGTAAACCTCAACGTTGTCTTGGTATTAAATATTCATGAATGATCACTTGGCCTTTGGTGAATAACTGTTAAATATAAACTTGGCAATCATATTGCGTGTGATACATTGTAGGTACAATGAATATAGGTATAAAACTTCCATTGTGTTAAATTCAACTGGGGATAATTATTAACAGTGAATAGCTGCCTTGCTAATTAACAAGGGCATGCCTTCTTGACTCGCTTGTTAAGAGACAACTGACTCAACAAAACACTGAGAGCATCCACTGTGCCCAGAAGGTTAAGTCTCATTCAATCTCACAAACAATTCACATGTTAATGTTCCTTGGCTAATAGCTTTCATTCTTAGCTGGGTAAATTTTAACCAGTGTGGACACAAGAAATCTCATAGATGAATGCGTATAAGCTCTATGTCGTCGACAAATCAATTTTGTTTCACATTTGCATTAACACAAAACTGTTTCCTCCGTACACGTATCTTAATAACAATTAGTAATTATTACTAATTGTTATACGCTTCGCTGTTGCCTCAGTGACAGCAATAAACTATGCAGTAAGGCATAATTTGGAAAAAAATTGCGTTGTATACAAAAACAAAACTGATCTGAGTGAAATGTGTCAGTTTGTAGTTTACTCCTGGACGTATTAATACTCAAAACTTGCTCAAAATGGGTTTTAATTTCATCCTCTTTTCACCAGGATAAACATAACATGTCATAAATTTTTAACTTGTTTATACTCATTGAACAGTTTTAGCTTTTGGCATTTTATGCAAATTACGCAGGCCACGGAGAAACCACCTACTAGAATTGTAAACTGAAATGAGAACTCAAGATGAGACTAATGGGTTACCCAATTTTTTTTGGTTCAATGGCAACGTCAAAGACGTGAAACTTTTTTAAACCTGGCTTTTTCCATTCCAAAAACAAAATGTAAATTCTCCTGATCGTAGATTGCAGTGCGCATCTGTGCGAAAGATGATATTTTTTCTAATAATATGTAAATTGACACTATTGGAATATTAGTCTCAATTGTAACAAATTTTCATGTCACATCAAATGGGTTGTCGCTACATGTCAAAACCAAACAAAGTACCAGCAAAAAAAAAAATGGGGAGAACGATTTTTATGCTGATTCAATAGAGCCAACATCTACGTCTATCAAAAATTTAAATTTGGAGCCATCTTCAGGAATATCATAGTGAAGTTACATTTCAATCCTATTAAAGATGCTAAAGCTTTTAGCTGGCAACATCTACATGTACAAATAGAGTCTCTCCTGTCCTGTTTGCACTGAAATTAAATGGATAAATGCTTCCTGACCTACACTGAGCGCACATAGTGAAAATACACAACAGTCAGCCAATATTAATCATGGTATTGGTCCCTCTTGAGCCGCACACAAAGTGAGTTTTGCCTGACTTTTCGCGCTCGACTGATAACAATAAAATGCAATATTTCTCACCCCCCAAACACAGCTGCTCCATGAAAAAATTATGCTGAACTTAGATAAAAACAGCGGATGGCTTGGACAGTGTTTTAGGCAGTTCATATCCCTTATAAGCTCGAGTCAAACCATTTTAATTGGACAGCAATTTCTGTGCAATTAGAAACCGTGCTACCATATATTTCTCAAGTCCGTTGGAAGGCAGGTGACGGACAAGGGGAGTTTAAAATTGTTTTCGCAATACTCGCGAAGGACAAAGAAGACGAATACTTTACAGTACACCTGATCTAAAATATCGCTAGTTTCCCGTAACCGTTTCTAAAAATTCGATTGGAGCTGCAAAAACACCGGAAACCACGCTCGAAAATTTCAACAAAAAACTAAACTTGGGAGTTGCTGGGTTTGATTGAAGATAACGTGACACATTTTCAATTAGCGATTTAAGCACAAGATCCCAAATAATTGGACGGACCATTTTAAAGGAGAGTGAACAACAGAATTTAGGATATGACCATGCCAATGACCGCTCGATTTCTAAGTGCAACACTTGCAAGTATTTAAGAGTTGCAAACGAAGTTATCGCCCCGGATTCGGCTAGCCATAGCAAACCGGGTTCGCAAGCCGCATACTTCCTCAGTGCCTGATCGAACGATATACAATATTTAATAAAACAGTCAAAAAGCTATATTATTTCTAACCTTTAAAGTCCACTTCTCCATTTCCATCTGTATCGAAAATATCAATAACTCTTTGAACTAGTGGGTTTTGTTGTAGCTCTGGAAGCGACATGAACTCCTCGACGGAAAGAGCGCCCGACTTATCCAGATCGAGCTTTCGAAATCTCTTTCCAAGTCGCCGAATTTCGTCCGCATCAACTATAGTTTCAAAGAAAGATAATTATCATATGAGTAGGGCAACTGAGAGGTAAATCAATCTACAGAAACTACAAGTTTTCCTCAATCTAAGTACAACAGACGCCCTCTATAAGATTAGTAAGCGTAACTTACAGTGAGTCACCATGTCACCGGGTAAGGAAGCCTCGTTGCCCTAAAACAGAAAGCGTATACCCAAGATCAAGAAATACAACTTCAAGATGTTCACATATTGCTTGGGCCTAGGTTAACGACATGCACTGAACAGGCTGGTGTATGTGTAAATAGGTGCCAGAAAGCGTTCACTTCGAATAATTATTGCTGCAACTATAAACACTAAACATCTTGGAAAGGCAAGTTCAAAAACTAGGTCAAGGACAGCGACGGCGAAAGGCGAAATCTCGCCGTTTCATCGCTACACAAACACTAAGCAAATCAACACAAGCGAAAGTCCAACGAAGCTGCTCCAAATGTCAACAAAAGTCCAACAATATCAAAACTGGAATATTTATCTCTCTTCCCACAGCAACAGTTCGCAGCTTTGGGGTTGCTTTCATCGGCGAGAAAGTTTGCCGAGATCCGGACTCGCTATCGCACCGGTAAGGCTAGGAGTTTGTCGAAAAGACGTTTAAACCATCAAAGAAGGATCACGTACCATTTGCGATGAGTTTTCAGGTCCTCGTGAGACGGTTTTAAGTTTTCAAATGCACCGATCCAAACTTTGCAGGTTGGTTAGTTACTTCGAAGAGGAACCCCACTGAAAGGATAGCGCCCAGTCCACGACCGTGTCCATGAATTGCATCCGGGAGATTGGAAACAAAGTACTCATTCCCAGATTTCTCGCCAAATATCTCGGCCCGTGAGATTCATGAGACTTCAATGGCGACCTCACACGCAACAAGGTACTGTGATCTTTAATTTTTCTTTCTGTGTTTATTCACCTATTTACTTCGGTTTCACTCGTATTCATTGTGTTTTAGCATTGCGATCGGTTTGTTCTTTACACTGCGTGGTCACTTATCCTATCTCATTGAAGATCTTACGTTCGACACGTGTACTTAGCTGTTTTGACACCGGTTTTCGCTTTGGGCTATTTCCTTTTTATGCTATCTCCAACGTCGATCGGTCGGATGCAGTAGGCTATGTGCGCCCATCTTTTCAAATTTAATTTAAATACATTTCAATTACCAAGTCAAGTCAATTATGGTCGCACGCAAGCTTTACATTGTACAGAGCTCTTCCTAGCTGACATTAAAAAATCTCTTTGCTTTTTCATACCCTGTTAGGATTTTTTCGCTGCTGTTGCTGGGGATAATTCCAGAGATCAATGCAGTAGACAAGGGGAACTTTAAGAAATGTGATGACTGTAGCTTTTGCCGGTGGGTAAAATTAATATTTGTATATAATTTATGGTATGGTTAATATATCAAAGGGTGTTAATAAGCTTCTTTAGCAATTTAAGTTTAAACAAAAACAATACTTCTAATTGTTATATGGACAGGAATGTTTCACTGAAAAACACAGCACTTGTAAAATTCATACAAAACTACATTGGAGACCTGACTCGTGTATTTTTC